AAATTTTTTAATGAAAAATGTTAGAAAAATATTTTATGACATATTTTTTTCAACGATTCACTTTGAATGTGTATGCATTTTAAATGAAGAGCTTATATATTGTCAAGCCAAAAAAGTATTATTGTGAAATGACAGAGTGACATTTATATCAGCGCCGTATATCGAATTAATTTCGCTTGGCATAGGGGGAAATATTTTGACAGATAGTACTCGATCCTTTCAACCAAAATTAAGGGTACCTCCCATACAAAATATTCGTTTTTGAGCCAAAAATTTAAAATTTTGTATGGAAGGTACCCCTAACTTTGATCGAAATCTCTTCAAACTTTCAGAATGTTATTATTTTGTGTAAAAAATAGTCTGTGCAAAGTTTCACGTCATTAAAGTATCATACAGGCATGGCTCCCATACAAAAATTCAATTTTTTTGTGACTTTTACAAGGAAACTGTATTAAAAAATATGTCTGACGTTAATTTTGCCATAGAAATTATTTTTGAAACACTTTTCATAACTCACAAAAAAATAACATTCGGAAGGTTTGGAGAAATTTTAACCAAAATTAAGAGTACCTCCCATGCAAAATATTCGTTTTTGAGCCAAAAATTGAAAATTTTATATGGGAGGTACCCCTAATTTTGATTGAAATCTCTTCAAACTTTCAGAATGTTATTTTTTTGTGTAAAAAATAGACTGTGCAAAGTTTCACGTCATTAAGGTAGCATACAGGCATGGCTCCCATACAAAAATTCATTTTTTTTGTGATTTTTTCAAGGAAACTGAATTAAAAATTGATTGTATCTCAAAACTAACGTCGGATTCGGTTTTCTCGTGCCAAAAAACCCCCCAATACATATTTTTGAATGTTTAAGTCCACATTAAGTATGACTTTTGGACGAAAATTGGACTCTTTTTCATAGGTATCACTCCAGGCATGACATTTTTTCCCATCAACCAAAGTCGCTCAAAAGCTAATGATTTCTATTCCTCGGGACCCCCAATCATCCTGTAAAGTCAGATTTTGAATTAAGTTTCTACGATGAGCGCAATCTTGCTAACAAATTTTGCGTACGACGTACAACGTACGACGTACGACGTACAACGTACGACGTACGACGTACGACGTACGACGTACAGATTAACATAAACCATGCTCAAAACGGCCTGATTCGGGTTCGCTGACCTCAGAAACGTCCAGAAAACATGTTTCTGAAGTTTTCAAAATTTTGACCGATTACAATACTTTTCACCTTACACTATGTGTGCGGAAAAGTAAAAACTCACACAAAAATAAAATTATTTCTTATTTATAATCATATTTGAAAATATTTGAAAATGTTCAGATTGAAAATCAAAACTAAGACTTTCACGCGGAGAAAGAAACCCGATGAATTTCGGCGAAAATGAAGTATATAATCGATCGGAAGCGATAATGAATTACAATCAATATAATCTAAATTTGGCGAAAAACAACCTGAGGAACAAAAAAAACATTTATTGAATACGAAGGTTACGCTATCAAATGTGTGGCTATCACATATCATATACTTTTTTTGAACGGTGACATGATGGTGAATGGCATATGTAAGGGTATTCAATAAGATCATCACAATCAAAACAATCGAAATTTGGCGAATTCAACGTGAAAAACAAATACATTTCTAAGAAAAATAAACAATCAATGCAATGGAGAAAAAAATGTATTGATGCCATGATATAAATATTTTATGTACAAACGATGTCACTGGTCGATAGTTTTTCTTTCATCTGGTCATAACTTTTAATAAGGCCCAAAGGCAGCATTATATTTTTGTTATCGAAAAAAACCCGGTAATATGACTATTGTCCGTTCCCAAATCTACGACAACGCCATCTCTTGTTCCTCATCTGTTGCGAATTTTTTAACCAACCAATATTGATTGGTTCAAATTAAATAGTTTAATATAAATTCAAAAAGGGTTCAAGTCTAATCCCGACTATTTGAAAAATCCTCAGGTAAAATATTAAAACAAAACTTGAAACAATTTTTTTAATTGTCGTCGATTTCATGGACTAAACATATAGAAACATAACACTTTATGACAGAAGAACGAAACATGACGTTTCTGTGATGACCACTTTAAGCGTACATGTGATGCTTGTGTATGTATTGTTTCTTTACTCTCTACAGTGTACTTTACTGTCAATTTCGCTCCTTCAAATCGATGGCAATTTATAATAAAATGAATTTTGTATCAACAAATGATTTTAAATATGGTTTCAATGATTTAAATGAGGGTTTTTTTCCAAATAATGTGGGATTAAAATTAAATTCTTTTATTTTATTTTAAATTAAAGTGAAAATTTTGTCACAGAAATAGCTACTGCTGTGTAACCAAAGATGGCGTTTTCGGTTTAGATGCCAGTGACGTTTACATATAAATATGTCAACGCAATCCCCGGTTAATCGAAAACATGTCATCCGTCAATTATAACATAAAAACGTTTACATTGAAAATCATATTCAATTTGTGTTATATGATAGAATGGCTTAAAGGAACCTTTTCAATAAAATTGATTTGAAACATTTAAATGAAAAATCTAATTTTAATTACGGGTCAAAGAATCAATCAAAATTGTCAAAGTTCATCGATGAACAAACCAAATTTCACATCATGATTACAAATTCTATGACCAAAACCGATCAGAACTATAGATTGAATTTCGCAACTAAATAAAAAAGATCAACATTTACTTTTTATCAGTATGTTGATTGATATTCAATACACAAACAAATCAATACAAGGGCAATAACCACAATACGTTGAGCGTTTAAAAAAATTAAAAAAAAGTTTTGATATTGCACCATCAAATCGCCTGATTTACACATGTTGGTTTTAATCAAAAAATTGGATTATGCGCCAAAGAATCAAATTTGTATGTATGTCCGTAAGAATGAATATGGCAATAAAAAAACGGAATCTGAAGAACGTTACATAATTTTTTTTTGTATGGAGTTGTACTATGAACATTGTACATTATCGACAACGAGCATTTTTCGAATTCATCAGTTCATTTTGTAAAATTAAATGAATTCTATCACGCCCACACTTTTGTATCACATTTTTTTATATTTTTTTTTATCATAATGAAAACAAAATAAACAAATAGCATTTGTTTTTTGGTTTGATCGAAATCTGAAAATGAGAGAAGCAATCAAAAGCACATCAACACAATCAAAAACAATTTCTCTTTTTTTGGCCAAACATTGTTGCATTTTAATTTCGCAATTTGAGTGATTTCAAATAAGTGCTTCTGAAATGACGGAACAAGGCAAATGCATGTCATCGTATTTCAATGGGTGATACAGTATTCAACGAATAACAAAAACAAACGGATAAAAAAACGGTGACAAATATTAATATGCGTATCGCTGGTGTATCTGAGAAAAACGGCGCGTAACAAAAGGACGTGTTAAAAACTGACAAATGAGTGTTCCTGAAATGCGGTATAAAGTAAATGCATATCATCTGGTATTTATATGTGTCATATGTTACGATACATTTTACAGCTTAAGATTTCTGTATCAAATAGACATGAATGTGGATAGACACAAACAAATTATGTGGAGTGTCTGTGTTTGCAATTTTACTTTCGATGGCGCACATGCGCCCGCTTTTTATTCCATTCATGAAAGTGAATTTCAGTTTCGGTGTGATCACAGCTCTCTTGAATTCAGTTGGATGCCAAATGTGGAATGAAGCGCAAGTGATTTTGTTTCGAGTTCTCAAAAGTGATTTTTGTAAACAGTTTCGAGATTAAATTCGTTGACAACACATTTCATTCGGTATCAATTTCAATGATGTTTTTGATTGAAACTTGACAACTTCAAAACGAAGAATTACAAACTGATATTCTTTATTATCTAATCTAAAAAACCATTTAAACTGACGAGCCACTCAATACAGTAACGGGGTTTTGTGTTGTATTCAATCGATAAAAATAAATACGTTTTCTTTGTGTGTTAAATTAAATGCAAGTTGTTGTTTTGTCTTCTGTTTCGTGAAATATGTTCCAACTTATTATTCTGAGAACGCTTTAAGTAATTTATATGTGGTCAAGTGAGCAATAGCTGTAGTGAACTTATTATTAGACATATATTTCTTTGGCCGATCACGCTGTTTTATATTTCATCAAAAAGACTTAAGGAAATGAAAATAAACGAGCTAGTGGGACGAGTATTACGTTGTTGTGCACATAACATTCAATAAACTCAATTCAGATAAATAAAAAATTACTAGAATTAATCAACTAAGAGTGAAAACGTTAAATTTTGACCGTTTTTTGTGAATGTGATCAGAACGTAAGTCCTCAAGTTTCTTTATTTATAAAACGTGCACTTCAGTTGTTTATCTTAATTTGAACAAAAAAAATCAGATTGAATATGATCCTTCTTGTTGCTACAGTCCGTGACATTGCCAAAATCAATTCTTTTTTTGAATGACACTTAATTAAACTTGAAATTGATGTGTTTTCAAATGCAATAAAAAGTCCATCACTTAAAAGCATTGTAAGCACTAATTCGCTGTGTCTGTCGTCATTTATCTCACTGTGACTTTAGCGTTAAATATTATTATGGAGAAGTACAGTGACTTTTAGATTATGGAAAAGCGACGGTTAACTTCTTCAGCGAATGTTTTATTCATATGACCTCAAAGTCATTATGAAGCTCAGTGAGATATGAAAGTTGTGTCAGAAAAATTTATGTTTATTTGATAAATTTAGCCCTCAATCATTGTTTTACAATGGGCCCATCAATCGGTAGAACAAAGTCAAAACAATGTCGAAATGTTTCTTAAAACTTGTTTATGAATCATTAGGAATTTGGTAGCTCATATTTTTTTCGGTTTCAGACATGATATATGAAGTCGGAAACCATTCAAAATTTCATGTTAAATGTGACATTGTTATTTCAAACAAAGCTTTAAGAATGTTGTGCATCAAAAATTGGGAAGTTAGCTTAAACATTGTTTGCGTTCATTGTTACCATTTTTACATTTTTTTTGAAATATTTTATTCAGACATTTTTGACGTGTAATCCATTTTGATGGCTCAAAGAATTTATCGATGGAAATAAAAGATGATATTTTTACGAAATGTATTTTTGTATGTCTGAAGACTGAATATTTCTAAGATCCGGTGCTGATTTTCTAAGTTTGAATCAGAAATGAACAAACATTTCGTATTAGTTGCCAACCCAACGACGTTCGACAGGTGTATTTTCAAGCGGAAATCTGACATATAACATACATTCGTTTACATAAACTTCGACGACTTAATGATTCAGTTTAGCGAAATACTTCCGAATGTTTTCTGCTTGAATGGAATCAATCAAGCTTCGTACACTTACGCTTGGTGTTGTATTTACTCAGGTCTGAATATAAATTGTTAGAAAAGACACCAACATATAACAGACGTGAAAATACAATAAGGCCCATGAAGTGAAAAATAAACACATTAATCTGTAAAAAATAAAAGTAGTCTATTCTAGTTTGTGGGAGCGTCTAAACATGAGAAGACATTTTGTTTATTTTTTTGGTGATGTCACGCCTTATCATATGAAAAAAGCTAAACTTTTCTTTGAGTCACGAGAGAAAAGAATTTCGATATAGGCATGCCATTTCGATCAAGAAATAAACATCCATACGAAATGGCAAAGTACAGAAACATGGCAACAACAATATGACTTTAAGTGGTTGGTTTTATGTTAAAATGATTGAATCTCAATGTTGTTATTCATGGAAAAATGTTAACATTCCACTTTTAAAGCGTCCATTATTGCAATGCAACTAAAAATAAACAACTATTTTTGGTGAGCATTTTTAGGTTGTCATGAACCATGAAATTGCATTTTTAATAAATATTTTCTTGTGCGTTGTGATATTCAAAAGCTGCACAATTGACTTGACTTTTCATCTGGAATTTCATTTGAAAGAGTAAAATGCACGTGGCCACTTTCATGTAATTCCATTTCGCTTTGTTTGTCGTAACATGTCAAGAAACATCATGCGAAACTCTATCAGAGGAAATGACACTTCAACTTAATCTATGAATAAGAGATTATCTCTTTTCCATTTATATTTCTAGATATATAATAAACATCTAAGATGCATTCGGCACTAAATCTGAAAACAAGAGAAGAAAAAAAAAATTACAACTTTAATATTTCTTATTCGATATTAAAATCTTGATATATATAAAAAATCCTTGGGAACTCCAAACAAAAACTTCTGGCTTTGCGATCAAATGGAAGGAAAACCTAGTATGCTCTTTTTTTGTTTCAGTAAAAATCAAAAAGTCTAGTATCAAACATAGTAGTGTTGATTGCTAAGATTGTGATTGTGACTCTGTATTAGAAATAATAATGATAAATTAACATATTTTGTGCGGAAGTTTTCCCATAGATATTAGGGAAAGAAGACTACTTCCTGTTCGTGGTCACTAGCAGAAAGAGCGTATACCGCAGTATGTACGCTGTTGTAAAACGTCCATAGACAACTTTTCATTAGGTCGTGTTGAAGTCATGAAGTTAGGCGTATAGAAGTTTGATATATTATAAAGCATACATAATCTTATAAATACTTTGAAATTTTTTGCTTTCAAACAAACGCAATGTCTTATACAGACAAACCAAGAGATGTGAATGTGATTTTTTTTTTCAGAAAAGGATGTTGGTTAATATATTGGAGAATATATTCGAAAACTCTCGATAAAAAGGAAACTAGTTATTGCTTACAAATTTCTAAGAAAAGAAAATTTCAAAGTAAAAGGGTACTTTGATTTGATAACCAATTCATGCAGAAAATGAAATTAACACAAAAAATCCTTTTGATTGTTTTCAACTTTTGCAAAAAAACAAAACATTATAAAACGTACACTTTCTTGCAAATGTGGTCGCAAATCAAATATGTACAGTTTGTAATTAGAAGATTATATACGTATAAAGTTTGGTCTGGTGTGGCATTTTCCTTTTAAAGTCATTAATCAACGTGCTTGTTTAAGTGCGTCATTTGAAATTTAATATTATTATTATGAATTGTGAATACGTTCGGTATTGAATTTTTGACGTAATCTTTCAACAATAAAATTCTGCCATCACATGTTCTCCCTATGGCTTGGAACTTATAAAATAAACTCTAGTTAATCCAGCCTAGTGACATGAAAAACGGGAAATACAACGAGTCATGACGTAACATTGAATGAAATCAAAAGAAAATTAAATTCCTTAAATTAAAATCGACATTTTGATTTTTATTCTTGGCATCGCACAGATATTGTTGGAATATTCAATCAAAATACTCATTAAAAAAAGAAAAAGAAATTCATGCATGCTATCTGAAAAATATGAAAGAAAATGCCATTCGTTAAAATTGCTTTGGTAGTTAAAACATTTCATTGAAAGTATTATTTCCTTTAAAAAAAGCGTACTTAATAATAATAATAATAATAATATTTATTCACCGCCAAAACTGGCTGAATCTTTTGAGTTTGTACATAATTTTTATACATTTGTTTGGTGGGAAAAAGGTATGAATCAATGATACACATTTGGTATACATCTGATCACCGTTAAAAACCACATCTTTTAATAAAGATTTCTAATAACTAATTAGCTACTTCTTACAGTAATAGCTAAATAGTTAATAGTAAACTGTTCAAATTACCGTCAAACAGCAAAAAACACTTATAAATACTAAACATTTTCAAATTGCACGCGGTTACAATGAGTCAGAAAATAATTAATAAATAAATAATTAAATAAATAATTGGATAAATAAATAATTTACATCTTTACAAAAATCACAATGTATCACATTAGATCGTTAAAGAAAACAGTGTTATAGTTAGACACCAATGACAAGTTAGAAAAATGGTCATCGCTTAAGGCTAAAAGTCGAGTTTTGAAAGTTGATCGTTTTGATTGCGTTGAAAATAGTTCGTGGACCTTATTTGACATTTTGCACATTTGGTTGATTGGTACTGATGGATTGATTTTGAAGTTCTTGTCATTGATTTTGAAGTACTCCACACATCTTAAGTTACGTCCATTTTGATTGCGGGCAATTTCAGTCTTCAGTGATGGGCAGTGAACGTTATTTTGCATCAAGTCGAAAATGAATAGAATTGATGCGTTGATACGGCGCCTTTGGAGTGATTGCATGTTTAGTTTGCCTAGGCGAGTGCTGAACGATGAAATCCTGTAGTCATTTGAAATATTTGGATACTCCTTGAGAGCAAACATTGAGAATTGACGCAGGCACGATTCTATTTTGTTCTTGTGTATATCATGGTACGGGAGCCATACCAAACAGCCATACTCCAAGATTGATTGTACGAGGGCGCAATATAATGACTTCAGAGTATTGACATCCGGAATATCGTAGCAAAATCTCTTTACGAATCCGAGTGCTGATGTTGCTTTAGCCACGATTGAATCGATATGTTTGATGAAGTTAAGTTTGTTGTCAAAGATAACTCCCAAATCTCTTTGTTCGCTCACTCTCTTGAATTTGTGACTGCCATAAGAGTAGGAACTTACGATTTGCTCTCTCTTTTTTGATATTGACATAACAGAGCATTTGTCAAGATTTAAATGAAGTTTGTTTGATTCGCACCAATTTTTTAATTTATTGATTGCAACTTGAAGTTTGATACAGTCATTGGTGTTAGCGATTGAAGTTGCCAATTTCAAATCGTCAGCAAACAGAGAGATAAAAATGTCGTCATCCTTAATGGAATTAACAATGTCGTTGATGAAAAGCAGAAATAGGGTGGGGCCCAAGTGACTTCCCTGAGGAACTCCTGAGTTAACGACAAACTCACTTGACTCCATTTGCCCATATTTCACGAATTGACGACGATTTGACAAATACGATTTGATCCATTCGATTAAGTTAGGAGGCAGATTGAAGTTTTGTAGTTTTGAAATCAGAATCGAATGATCAACAATGTCGAATGCCTTACTGAAGTCAGTATAAAGTACTTCTACCTGCTTATCTTCGTTCACTGCCTTCATAGAATAGTGCAGGAATTCTAAAAGATTCATCGAAGTCGAGCGACCTTTCATAAAACCATGTTGTTGTGGAACTATTTTATCGGCTACCATCTTGCTGATCTCCAAATTAATCAAATATTCGAAAAACTTGGCGATCGTTGGCAATTTGGCAATGCACCGATAATTTTCAACGTTAGAACGTGATCCCTTTTTGAATATTGGTCCAACGCTGTAACGTTTCCATCTCATAGGAAAGTGTCCAGTGGAAAGCGAATCATTGAAAATCATTGACAGCGGTTCGTATAATA